AAGTAGTCCCGTTTATCTGTGGAAGCTGAGCGGTGAGAATGAGCCTATTAATGTCCCAGCAAACGACCCCGAAACAAAAGAAAACGGGGTCGCAAAGCCGTAGAAGCTTTGACGTGATCTAAACTGAAATTAAGATAGTGGGCGCTTTAAAAGTACAGAATAAATCAGAAATAGAACAACTAAGGAGTTACATGGATAGAGGCGGATTGGCTATCAACTCGTAACAAACAGGTCTCCAGAAAAGTTTGTTTGTTTGTTGGTTGGTTGAATAATTGAAGCCAGCCTCGAGGCTGCATGCCTGTGACTCCTGCACCTGGCAGGGTGAGGCAGGAAGATCCATGACTTAGTTCCAGCCTGAGACTCAGGGTCCTACCCGAAAAAGAAAAGAAAAAGGGAGTGGGGGAAAACGGAGATGGGAAGAGAAAAAAAAATAAAGGAACGAGAATAAGCTTTTCTACTGCACTGGTTGTCAGATTTTTGTTTTGTTTTTAGGTCAGTGTGGTCTAGATAACAAGTTTCAGTATATCCTGGGCTACAGCAAAACGCTGTCTCAAAAAAAATTAAAGAAAAAAAAAAAAAACCAAACAAGAATATCCTATAAAAAATTTTCAGTGTCCTATGTGGTGGGAAATGTTACTTAAATGTTAAATATAGAGCACCTGTAATTTTAGAAACCTGTTATTGGTACCTACCAATAAATATACCGACGCATGCCTTTAATCCCAGCACTGAGGGCTTGGGGGGCACAGACCAATCAGTTCGAGGCCAGCCTGCTGGTATACACAGCGAGTTCCTGGACAGCTAGGGCTACACAGAGAAATTTTTAAAAACAAACAAACAGAATAGGCTGAGGTTGTAGAACACATGCTTATGCACAGGCCCTTAGTTCAGTTTTCAGTAACCCCCCCCACACACACACACACACACACACACACACACACACACACACACACACACGAAATAGAAGGGAAAGCCAAGGAATAAGACTAAGAACATTTGGGAAATTTCAGTTAGGATTTAGGAGGGAATTATGATAGAAAGGGAAGTTGAAATTTTTAATAAACTTTCTTTTCTTCTTTTTTCAAATAGAGTCTCTCTACATGTTCCTGGCTGTTCTGGAATCCATTATGTAGACCAGAATAAAGATCCACCTGCCTCTGCCTCCCAAGTGCTGGGATTAAAGGCTGTACCACCATGCCTGGTTTAAGTATATTCTTATGTTGTTTGTCAGGATAAATTTTAAATTGCTCAGAAATGTGTGAAAATGAAACAATTATAACCTAGGAAAAGGGGAAATATTCATATTAAATAAAAATCTAAAGTTCAGGAGATGGTGGCACACGCCTTTAATCCCAGCACTCGGGAGGCAGAGGCAGGCAGATCTCTGTGAGTTCGAGGCCAGCCTGGTCTCCAGAGCGAGTGCCAGGATAGGCTCCAAAGCTACACAGAGAAACCCTGTCTCAAAAAACCAAAAATAAATAAATAAATACATAAATAAAAACCTAAAGGAAATAAAAACTGATCTACTTGACTATCAATAACCCTCTTAGAATTGGGATAGAGCTGTTGGTGCTACATTTGCTTAGGCTTCCGGAGACCCTCAGTTCAATGTCTGATCTTCAGCACGCTCCAAAAGTTTTTAGATTTTATTTTCTTTTATTTATGTGTATCTGCTTCCCCATGTTTGTGGGTACCCCTGGAGACCAGAAGAGGGTGTTGGATTCCCAGGAGCTGGAATTGGAGGTGCCACCAAATGTAGGTGCTGGGAACTAAGTGATCTCTTCAGCCTTCCGCTCAAAAATTAAAAAAAAAAAATCTGCTTGAAGAAGCATACATAACCGGGGTTGGGGCATCACTATAGATAAAATTTACTATTAAGTGACAAATTGTGAAATCGATTTATATAAGAAAGGGCTAGTTCCTTTAAAATACAAAGAACTTTTTAAAGAATGTCAACAACTTCATAAAATTTGAATAACATAGATGAATGGTTAGTTCCTAGAAGAAATAAAAATGACCTTTAGGGGCTCGGAATACAGCTCAATGTTAGATCATTTGCTTAGCAACCATGGACTATGAGCTCAAGTCACAGTGTTGCAAAAACAAAACAACATACCTTTTGAATGGTTTAAATTATTTTATTTATTATGACTGTTATTATTAGTGAGTATGCATGTGGCGGGTGTTGGGGGTCAAAGAGTTTTTGGAGTTGGTCCTATCCTTCCATCATAGAGTCTAGGGACTTACAAGGCAAGCTCTTTAGCCCACTGAGCTATCTCACCAACCCTCTTTCAACATTTTAGAAAATTTATAACCTTACTTTTAATAAGAAACATACAAATGAAAATGTCATCAAAGTGTCACTTTCCAGCTGTTAGGTTCAGATCAATTCTGTCTACCAGGAATAGCTGGGTGTTAAGCCTCAGACCCTGGGACAAATGGCTGAGGTGCCTATTTAACATATCAAAGCGGACCTGTCCACCAGGTTCTCCCAGCATCCTTCAGTCCCTACCTGTTACAGGGTATAGCTGGCATACCCTGCCCTCCACCCTGAACTCTCCAGCCCAGCGCTGGGCTGCCCTTCCCCCAGAGGCTCTTCCTTGTATAATCCACCCATTTTAGTTACCCACCCCTTTTTGTAGCTTTGCCCTCTTGGCTGTTGCACCTGGTTCCCCTCTCTTCCCTCTCCCTTCCTTTCCCCCTCTCCTCATACAGCCCAGGCCATGCCCACCCTGGTGTCTGCCTCAGGCTATGCCCTCCCATTTTATTTACAATAAATTTTCTTCTCCACCATCCCTAGGAATGGTCACATCCTTTCCTTTCCTTTTCATTTCTTTTTTTTTTTTTTAACCCAGTGGGAAGAATCATGTATTATAGGTTTGAGCATAGCAAATGGTGATGGGCTAAGGGGATGATTGTCACAACCCCTGGATGCAGAAAAAAGGCCCAGAAGCCACAAGGAAGCTCAAATTCCCAGGCACAGCAGGCTATTTTTGCTGAATTGCAATTGGAGCCAGAACCCATGGGAAGATATCAGGTTTTTCCCCACCTTCATCCTTCCATTTCCCCCATTTTCATAGCAGCATGGAGGGAGGGCATGGAAAGGCAGCCTTTTGAGAACACCCTTACACACTTGGTTCCTCTTTCACTGAATTTGACAGCTCTCTCTCTTGTTTAGACCCATTTTATACTTCATTTGAACACACACACCTAGCCAATCAGAACCTACTGGGTTCTGTATTGTGTATCTGCACAAGAGGGTCTACAATACCTGGGCAGACACTCACTGGATCACTCATTGTAACTAGAAAAAGAGAAAACCTTGAGAGTCCAGTCCAGTCCCAGACACTGTTTGGAGAAGGAACACAGTTCTTGAAATTCACCACGGGACGAACTGGAGACCTGCCACCAGCAGGGAAATTTTCTTAAGTTCCCATTGCTCCTGCTCCATCCAAGAGATGCCCCGGCTGCTTTCTGTGCAAGGAATTTGTTCTGGGGTGGGTGAGGGATGCTGCTGCTCCTGCTTCAATATCCCTTATTCCTGCCCCAACCTTGGATGTCCACGGCTTCAGCTGCCAGAGGGGGACTTGCCCCAGACTTTCAGACTTGGCAGAAATGGAAGGCCTGCTGCTCCTACTACTGATGTCCCTGAGGGATCAGTGACCTGCCCTCTGAAACCTTGGTTGGTACCCGAAGACCTCTGAGAACTTTCAAGCTGTCTCTCAGCTGGCACCTCAAAGCTGTCACACA